TCAATCAGGTATTTATGTGGAAACCATAGCTAACAACCTTCCTGCTCCGATGATTCTAATGACTTCGTGTTTTGCAGCTATGCGAACGGTTGCCGAGCCCGAATGGCCAGTCCTTTGTTGACTGCGCGAAAATCTCCTCCCTCCCGAACGTCTCATTCACCATCGCAAATCAAATGTTCGAGCTGACGCCTAAACAGGTGATGGATGCGTGACGCCAGTCTCATGCCGACGTCCATTTGTGTTCTTGCTGCTGACTCTCACTCTCTTCTCTCTCGGCAGTACATCTTGCAAGTTGGAGAGGGAGCAGCGGCGCAGTGCATTAGTGGCTTTACAGGAATGGACGTCGCTCCTCCAGCCGGCCCACTCTGGTACTCTCTCTCTCTCTCTCTCTCTCTCTCTCTCATATTCATTTTTCACTGTAGCTTTAGCTCTCTCTCTCTCTCCCCTTTGATTTGCTGTAGCTCTAGTACTTCTTTCTAAAACGTTTGGTTTTGTTGGATCAGGATTCTCGGTGATGTGTTCATGGGGGTATACCATACGGTGTTTGATTTCGGGAACAAACGCATTGGTTTCGCCAAGGCAGTCTGAAAAGACTCTTAATCGTATTAAATATGCTATAAGCTTTGCGGGTACGAGCCTTATCGCCGTTGCTTGTTAGGACCGCTAGATCCGGCATCCGACGGTGCCGAGCTGCCGGCAAAGAATAGAGCCATTTTGTCTGATTAGGGGAAGGACGCTCGCGGCTCTCTTTCTTCCCCCTGCGCGTGCATGGCTTAGCAGGGGAGCATCCACATTCTCTTTCCGGAGATCTTCGCCCATCTGTGAGCCGCAGAGAATCGCCATAGAATACTCCCCAGGATCATCCATTCTCGTCCGTGGCAACCAGTCGCTAGCGCACGGTCAGCTCCTCCTCCCCTTCTTCCTTTCCTTGTTAATAAGGGGAGGGGAGCGATCGACCAATTTTGGGATGGTCGCCGTTTAGATTCTTTCATTCCTTCTTTCATTGTCACGAACAACCGAGTCCGGTCTTGGCTAAATACGGCACTTTGAACCTGCAAAAATCCCAGGAGCATTATAGAACAATCCTTTCCTTGCTAATGCTTACCTCCATTCTCTCCACTTTCTCAAAAAAATCGAAGTACGGCATCTTCGGCCTGTATTTCCACCACCTTCTGGCAGCCCAGAAACCCCTCCCATATTGCGGAGGAATAACCGGCTCTTCTTTTTTCTCAGCAATATCCTTGGCCATCTCCTCGCTGTCCAGGAGGACAACATACTTGCTTGTTAACGCATCAGTGTCTTCCTTGATGCTTTCTTTTTCAAGCATGTCCTCTAGTTTCGTCAGTCTTTCTCTCCACGTAAGCTTCTCGTTGGTTCCAGTATCTGAAACGAAGGAAGGAGATCAGGAGGGAATCGAAATATCGGTTTTCGTGACCTTCGGCACCTTTGTTCAATTCTTGCGCTGCCGCCGCTTCATTGCTATCATCGTCCCACGCGTGCTCTCCAACGAACGAAGGATCGTGACGATAACTCCCATCGGGTTGCAGTAGATGCTTTCGTACGCGAACACCGCCAGGCATATTTTCTCGCCATTGAAACTTCTCCAGTCTATTCCAAACAAAACAACAGATCCATCAAAAGACGTCTTCGAGACAAATCTAGCTTACTTGCGAACGTTTTCCAACGTTGGTTCTGGAATCGTGGCCTCTAAGTACGCTTCAGTCAATTCCTTGGCCTCTCTTTGGCTTAGATGAGGTGTGGTTGCCGCTACGTAGAGACCTCGGAAGGAACCAATGACCAGGAGAAGGTACAGAACAAGCGCTCCAATGTGTTGAGCATCCAACTTCTGAGAAACAAACCCAAAAACAATACTGGTTTGAGAATCAACATCAATCTGCTAGAAAAATCATACCTTCCATCGCTCCCAGTGGTGCCAGGCTACGATTCGAGGCCATACCTTAAGCCTGAAATCCTCGAGCAGCTCATCACCTTCGTTTCTAGCGACTTCCAATCTTCCTCTAGCGTCTTGCGCTGTTGACGCCGCTCTGTCAAAGACATGAGAGGCATTCTCGCGTAATTCCTTGTACCGAGCAGTCACGACCTCCTTAATGTTCTCTACATCCACCCCAGCCTCGGCCTTTAGATCCTGGACAAAATTCCTGTAATATCTGCTCAGCGCGGCTCGCAGCCTTCGATTCGACGACCCCTCCGGCACCGATTGGTCGTCACTACTCAGCTGCGCGCTAGGGCGAGCTCGAAATCTACTCCTAGAGCCTGCATTTATCCTCTGGACGTCGCTGCCAAACGATCTATCCACAAAATCAGTACCGCAAGGTCGACCTAGCACTGGCGCCGGGAGATGGAATGTCGGGGATGCTCTAGAGTGAGAGGCGCCATAGCCGAGAGCTTGCATTGCTCTCGGGGTTTAGGGCTTATGCTAGATAGATGCTCGGCGATTATTAAGAGGTATATTCTCCGGACTATCCACGTTGCTGCTAATGGGGAATATATAAGAACGAGGAAGCGGAGCTTTGAGATATCGCTATGGCGGGAGCTAGGGTTTCCGGGGCGCTCCTTCTCGCGGTGTGGGGCTTGTCGTGCTTGATCGCCGTCACGGCGGTGGAGGTCGTGCCGCTCAAGAAGAGGCCGCTCACGGCCGAGCGCCTGAGGTTAGCTGTGAAGTCCGTCCCTCGCAAAGCACACGCTCTTGGCTTCCACAATGTGCGCGACGCGAATTCGCTCACCAAGAACGGCAGCGTCCCGGATATCGAGCCGCTCAGGAACTATCTCGACGCGCAGTACTATGGTGAGATTGGGATTGGCAGCCCGCCACAGGTGTTCACGGTTATCTTCGACACTGGGAGCTCCAATTTGTGGGTGCCTTCCTCGCGGTGCATTTTCTCTGTAAGTCCAAAGGTTTCTTCTCTTGGAAGTGATCCTAAGTTGACTTTATTGTTTTTGTCTTCTATAGCCAGCGTGCTGGTTGCACCATCGCTACAAGTCCAGGAAATCGAGTACTTACAAGCCCGATGGTATAACTAGTTCTACCTTTTTTTTTTCTTCTAATCTCTAATCCAATCTATGGCTCGTAGGTACTTCGATTGCTATCCAGTATGGAACTGGGCAGATGGCTGGATTTTTGAGCACGGATTATGTGACCATTGGTGACGTCGTGGTTAAAGATCAGGTTTGCGAAGTTATCGATCTTAGATCGCTATATAGCTTTTGCTATGCTTGTTGTAGACATTTGCGGAATCAACAAGTGAGCCTGGGCTTGTTTTCCTCTTTGCCAAGTTTGATGGCATCCTTGGACTTGGATTCAAAGCGATTTCCAAGGGACAGGTTACTCCCGTCTGGTATGTGAAGAGTTACTTTACTTCGTCATTTTCTAGTGGAGCTTTATTGCAGGTATAATATGCTGGCCCAGAAACTGATATCGCAACCAGTCTTCTCTTTCTGGCTGAATCGCGATGCCTCGGATGAGGAGGACGGCGGTGAAATCGTGTTCGGTGGAGTCAACAAGGATCGGTTTAAGGGAAAACATGTTTATACACCAGTTACCAGAGAGGGATACTGGCAGTTCAACATGGGAGATGTGGCTGTGGATGGCCAGAGCACAGGTTATATCATAATGGCTTGCTATATGCACTAGTTCTTAATGGTTTCATGTTTGCAGGGTTCTGTGCTAAAGGATGTGCTGCAATTGCAGATTCTGGAACTTCACTGCTTGCTGGTCCTACGGTATGTTACAAGCCAAAAGCAGTCATCTAACAGTTGTTGTTTTGACAGGGTATTGTGGCTCAAATCAACCAAGCTATCGGGGCTACGGGGCTCGTCAGCGAGGAGTGTAAGATGGTCGTTACTCAGTATGGTGACTTGATTGTGGAACTTCTTCTTGCGCAGGTTAGTAAGCTTTGGCCTCTTTTTACTCATGACTGTCTTGTCTCGTAGGTGACGCCCGACAAAGTATGTGCTCAAGCTGGGGTCTGCACTCTTCGTAATGACAAGTACATGCCATTTTCAATTTCTCCTTGAAACTGTTGCTGACCAGTTCCTTCCTCTCTTCTGCAGCCCACATATTGCGAGTGTGCTGGACAAGGAAAATCAAAAGGTTGGAGACGACGTGCTTTGCTCCGTCTGCGAGATGGCTGTTGTTTGGGTCCAGAACCAGCTCAGGCAAAACCGTACCAAGCAACAAATTGAGGACTACCTCAATCAGGTATTTATGCGGAAACCATAGCTAACAACCTTCCTGCTGCGATGGTTTCGATTACTTCGTGTTTTGCAGCTATGCGAACGGTTGCCGAGCCCGAATGGCCAGTCCGTTGTTGAGTGCGCGAAAATCTCCTCCCTCCCGAACGTCTCATTCACCATCGCAAATCAAACGTTCGAGCTGACGCCTAAACAGGTGATGGATGCGTGACGCCAGTCTCATGCCGTCGTCCATTTGTGTTCTTGCTGCTGACTCTCACTTTCTTCTCTCTCGTCAGTACATCTTGCAAGTTGGAGAGGGAGCAGCGGCGCAGTGCCTTAGTGGCTTTACAGGAATGGACGTCCCTCCTCCAGCCGGCCCAATCTGGTACTCTCTCTCTCTCTCTCTCTCTCTCTCCCCTTTGATTTGCTGTAGCTCTAGTACTTCTTTCTAAACCGTTTGTTTTTGTTGGATCAACAGGATTCTCGGTGATGTGTTCATGGGGGTATACCATACGGTGTTTGATTTCGGGAACAAACGCATTGGTTTCGCCAAGGCAGTCTGAAAAAAAGTGTTCTTAGTCGTATTAAATATGCTATAAGCTTTATACAAAGATGTCGCCGTCCATAGGGTACCAGATGGACGGCTAGATAGCGACCAGAGAAAAGTCGAGCATGAGCACGTGGCCCAATCCCCAGTGTCCTGCGTGGCGCGCTTATCGCCGTTGCTTGTTAGGACCGCTAGATCCGGCATCCGACGGTGCCGAGCTACCGGCAAAGAATAGAGCCCCGTGTATTTTGTCTGATTAGGGAAAGGAAGCTTGCGGCTCTCTTTCTTTTCTTCTCCCTCGTCCTCTTTCTTCTCCCTTCGCGCTCCGGAGCGCGTGCATAGCTTAGCTGGGGAGCATCCACATTCTCTTTCCGGAGATCTTCGTCCATCTGTGAGCCGCAGAGAATCGCCATAGAATACTCCCCAGGATCATCCATTCTTGTCCGTGGCAGCCAGCCGCTAGCGCGCGGTCAGCTCCTCCTCTTCTTCCTTTCCTTGTTAATAAGGGGAGGGGAGCGATCGACCAATTTTGGGATGGTGGCCTTCTAGATCAGGATCAGGGTTCCTCGCGGTCGGAGATTTTTTCATGGGTTGGATTTGCAAAGTCATCCTAATGCCGCTCCGCCGCGCATGGGAGGTGGTGGTTCTCCGGATTCAGCACAACAAGCGCGGTACGTGTTCTTCCTTTGATACCTTTTTCCGAAGTAGGAAAAATATCATCTTTGAATCCGTCAATGCGTAGATCTTTGAGATTTTGCACCACCTCAAGACTGTACTTTTCGTTCCTGGTTCTTCCTTGTCACTCTTGGTACTGCTGTCGCTGGCTTTTGTTCTTGATTTGTATCGCTTTGTTCTTGATTCCAACCTGATCTTCTCTCGTTTCTAAAGCTTCTGTTTCGTCTTTCCAGGCCGGCGCGGAATTGGGATGCTCTACGACGACGTTCAGCTGTGCGCTTACGAGGACGTCCAAGTTATGTGGTCCATGCTGCAGCACTCGTCCACGACAGAACCACAGCAGACGAGGTCGTCGAGGCTGTCGAAGTTTTGGCTCTGCCACAAGCCCCGCGCCTTCTGAGACTCTCGGCAGAGCAGCTCCCACACAAGGTTCCTTGTCCCTTTTCCTGCTCTGGCTAAGAACAACGCAGGGATCAAATCTTCCAGATGGGAGCGAGGAAAACCAAAAAAGAAAAAACACAAATGCAGAGCTATAGCTATAGGTGGGAATGGGGAGAAATAGTTCGAGTGGTCGTCAAGGCGTCTCAGTAGTGGCGCATATGTAGACAAGGGGAGCAGCAGGCAGCAGCTTTTCAAGGCGTGTAAATGAAATGCGGAAAGAGGGGAGGGATTGCCACTGTAATTATCACCAAAGGGGTCGAGAAAGAAAAAGAGGAAGAGCATCACCACCACCATCTTTTCTTTTGTGGTCGGTCACGGATAGATCACCCATCCTTCTCGACACTCTTAGAAAGACCCCACTTTGATTCCCTTGCAGTCCAACCAAGTTCCACTTTCAATCAAGGACTGGATAGATAGATGGAAGTTTTATATACGTATATATTTCTTTTCTAGTCTACTTGGTCCTCGAAGAACAACTTCCAAAGCTACCACTCCTTTTTCTCCTGGTGTTTAGGTGGCGCCATGGCGGTGTTCTTCCAAGAGAAAAAAAAAAAACTTCCAAAGTCCTTTTCATTGATCACGTCACAGATCTTTGAAAGCGGCCAAATTCCTGCCCTGGGAGGGATGGATCACGGCGGAGGAGACCAAGTAAAAAAGAAAAATCACCAAGAAAAAGAAACAAGATGTCACCAAAGATTGTTAAAGATCGCAATCCAATCCTGTGACAAGCGTCTGCGTCTCTGTTCTTCGAAGCATCTTATTCCTTGTTTTGGGACCCGCGGAAGAGCCTTTGTCATCAAACACTGACATGGGAGCTGTACAGACCTCTTGTTTGCGTGATGAGCTTCTTCTTCTTCTCCTGCTGCTGCTGCTGTTTGGCGATGGTGCCGTTGTGTGATCCCCACCCCTCGCCCCTCCAACCAGCTTTTCCTCGCCTAGCGAGAGTCCATTCCCACCGGCGGGGGTGGCCGGTCTCCCTTGATAACGTCCAGCAACATCTTCCGCCTGGCGTTCGCAAAGAAAGACTGGCGGTAGTCGAGCGCCTCTTCCATCTTGCGCAACCGGTCCAGCGCATCGTTGTCGTCCTGCTGCTTGCAACGTGTCCACACCTTGAGAGTCGTTTGACGAAACGGGCGGTGGTGGTTCTCAATCTGCCACGCAAAAAGGCCGCGCGCTGACAATCAGAAATCGAAAAGAAATCTGCCTGTACCATGGTCTGGAGAACGTCCAGTGCCGCATTTGCATCGTGGTTCACAATGTGTGCGTCAGCCAAAAGCATGTAAGTCCACTTGTCTGGCTTGAATCCCGCCTCCTTTATGTAGTCGTACACCCTCAGAGCGTCCTCCGTCTATACAGCAAAACCAACAAACGGGAGTTAGAGGCGCTCTTAGCCTGTAGTATGAAAACAAAAGCCGGCCTAACCATCTTCGTTCTTCCCAGCGCATGCAGCAGCGCATTGCAGGAGTGAATATCGGGCCTTAGGCCAAACACGCTCTCGATCGCTTCAAACGTCTGGTATGCACGCTCAGAATCCCAGAGGTTGGCACACCCCTGAATAACGCAGTTGATGGCAGCTATAGACACACCTTGCTTTTTCGTGTGCGCCTCTTCCAGCTTGTAATAAGCCTGCAAAAAGAGAGAGACATGAAAGAAGTGTTGAAAGCAATGACAAGGATAGGAATAACTCTTACCGCATCCAAAGCTGCCGCGCCACCTCGTGAGCACGCCGAAGCAAGCGACTTTAGCGACGTAAACGGCGAAAAGGCCTCCGTATCGCTGTCTTGCTTCCGCCCGTGATGGACCTCGAGCTCCCAGACTGCTCTAAAAGCTGTTGACATATCTCCACTCAGAGCGAGGGCATGGACGCGAGCAAGATACGCCTCCACGGACGGGGTTTTCCCGATTCCTTGGGTGTGGTGAACGAGAGCCTCCCAAGCATGGTTGCATAAAGCTGTATCACCTGTTCTTGCGGCACTTCCCAGAACAGCTATCATAGTGCCTTCGTCCAATATCATCTTCGGACCGAACTTCGCCATGGGCCTTTCAGTGATAGCAGCTAACGCAAGGCGGGCGCACTCGTTGTCATCAACTTCACTCGCGGCCATCAGCAGCTCCGCGCAAGTGTTCAGCATCGGAAGAGGCAGTTTTCCAGCCTGACCAAGACAGAAAACATTCTCATCAGATACAATGGCATAACTCTTCCAGTGTCTCACCTTGAGATCTTTCAACAGAGAGGCCCCAAGCTTCGTCTGATGAGAACGGGCAGTGGCCAGAGCTACCTCGTTTATTGTTGTCCTGCTGGGCTCAAAGCCTTTCTCAAGCATGGCCTTCACGTACTTCGTAGCCGCCAAGACTTTGCGGTCGTGTGCACACAACACCACGACCAAGTTGTAGGAGTCAGCGTCGGGCTGTGCATGTGGCCCCTCCTTTTCCATTCTGCACGGTTAAAGCCAGCAGCTTAGTGGCACAAAGATAACGAAGAGCTCACTTACTGCTCGAGAAGCTTTTCGGCCATGGCTGAATCCTTCTTGCGAAACAGAGCGCGAATGAGAATGTTGTAGCCGTTTAAGTCACGTGGGAGGCCCGACTCCTCCATCTCAGTCACCACCTCCTGGAGCTCCGCAAAGTTGGCCTCGTGTTTCACCTTCGCCTGCATGTAAAGGTTATACAGCCTCCGGTCTGGCTTGTTGCACTCGAGCGTGACAGGATTGATCTTCGTCCGCCAATCTTCGAAAAGAGCAATGGCCTCGGGAACCTTTCCTTCGGTCAGCCGGTTGTTCAGCTCGTCCGCTACAGCATTGGCGTCCATCGGAGCAGGCTCGGCGGCTGGAGTAGACAAAGAGAGGCGCAGAGAAGGTGGTGGAGTTGCCGGCGACGGTTCCACTGTTTCCTCCGGCTTTGCATTTAGAGCCTCAAATATGGGTGCGGCTGGCGATGGAGACTTGCCACCTTTCTCTACGCTCTCCAAGAGCATGTTAATAGCTGCGTTTGTCTTCTCCGCGGACGGCGAAGATGGATCAAACCGAGGTGAAAGCTTCGGCGACGAGGGAGGCTTCGCAGCATCTGGAGGCGTCTTATCTCCAGTCTCCCGGATCTTTGAACGAAGAAACTCGAAAACCGCGGTGTCCGCCAAAGGAGTCCCCGGCTTGCTCGACGTGGCGGCCTTCTTCGCCACCTTTGAAGGCACAACTTTGGTAGTCGCTGCTGCTGCTCCTGCTGCTGCTGCTTTCGGCTTCTCAGTCGCTGGCTTTGCTGCTGCCGGGGTCGCGGGTTTCTCCTCCTTTTTCTCACTCTTCGCGGTTTCTGGCCTTTCACCCTTGGGCTTCTCCGTAGTACTTTGAGACGCAGCTGGCTTCGCTTTGGCAGGCGAAGGACTAGCAGTTTTCGTTGCAGCTTCTGGTGGAGCGGAAGCTGGTGGAGCAGGAGCTGGCGGAGTAGGGGCTGGAGGGGCAGGAGCACTTGGCACAACTGGAGCTAGAACTTCGGCGGGTGGCAATCCCTTGATAAACTCGTGGACGCTCGCTGAGAGTTCCTCTAGGCTCTTCTTAGTTGTAGTGGACGTCGCAGCTTCTCCAGCTCCAGCGTCCACGGTGGCTTCCACCACTACCGATTCCTCATGTGAAAGTTCTCCTCCCTCCTCCATAACACTTTCCACCTCCACGGCACTCTCCTCCCCAACAGCACTCGCCTCCACAACACTTTCCATCTCCACAGCACTCTCCTCCAGAGAATTCTCCGCTGGCTCAAGAACCTCTCCCTGGATCCCAGCTACTTCCACTCCATTCTCGGCCTCTTCCAATCTATAAGCTCCATCCTCCTGGGTGTGGAGGAGCTCCGCCTCCTCCTGCGAGTAAGCATGCAAGGCCGGATCGCCCTCTACCTCCTCCGCCTGAGCCTCTTGCTCTACCTCTTGCACCGCGGCCGGCGATACCTGGTTGCGATGGAAAAGCTTGGACAGGAAATCCAGTCCCAAGATGGACTTCTTCCTGGGGACTGAGCTCTCCGGATCGTCGGGAGCGCCCGGAGCTTGAAATACCTGCGGGGAAGAACCCACATTCCTCGCCAGAGGCACCAATCCCAATGCTACGATGCCCTGACATGGGGCACGACCCGATCCAGCGGCGCCACTGCCAAGAACCCTCCCTGCCTGGAGCAGCCGCCCTAAGTCCTTCACTCGCTGATGCCGCTGCGTGCCAAGAACTCGCCACACAACCATGACTCGGTATGGATCGCTGATCTAACCTGTGATGTCTCCCATCGCTGGGAAGAGCAGCCGTAACCGCGATGGCGACTCTCACATTCGTCTCTTACCTCTGGCACAAGGTTTAGGGTTTATCCCCAGACAATCTTAACCGTCGGATAGAGTACAAAATTCCAGTCAGTTTGTCAAAATTCCGGATCATAAAATGCCAGCCGGAAGATCCTTGCTAATTGCGATCTCCTGCTCGAAAAACGCAGAATGGAGCTCCCTGACGCAGCGCTCGGCCTCCGAATCATTCACTATCAACGAGATATTCACCTGTCAAAGCAAAAGGATGGTCGATCGAGCAAGAACAAAAGGAAGAACTTTTACCTTGGAAGCACCTTGTGAGATCATCTGGACCTTGACTCCCAGCTCCTCAAACACCGAGAAAACTTTCTTGAGCACAAGGGAGGAGCGCTCCACGTTTCCAATCAGCGAGATGATGGAGCGCTTCTGTAGCAGCTTCACCTTTGCAATCTTGCGGAGCTTGGTCACCATGTTGTCCAGCTCTGTCTGGATCAAGTCGCGGCTCCAGATCTTAATGGGATCCAGCGTCAGCGAGATGCTAACCTCGCTGGTCGCCACCACGTCCACGGAGATCCCCAGCTCCTCGAAAGTCGAGAAAACTTTCGCCAGGAAACCAACCTGGCCCAGCATTCTCGTACTCACGATGTCCAGCATCGTTATGTTTCGCTTGAGAACAATACTTGTAAGCAGTGTCTACGGGGAAAAACACAATTTTGTAAGCAAAAATCCTTGGAAACTTGTTCTTACCTCACTCATATCACGCTTCTTCGTGATGAGTGTTCCAGGAACGTGTGGATTGTAGGAGTTCTTCACGCGGACTGGAATGTTGGCCTCTCGCGCGGGCCTCATCGACTGTGGATGTAGCACCTGGGCACCAAAGTACGCCAGCTCTGTAGCCTCGTCGAATGTGAGGCATGGAACTGGAACCGCGAGAGAGTGGACGTTGGGGTCGCAAGTTAGCACTCCATCGACATCCTTCCACACCTGGACTTCCCGTAAGCCAAGAGCTTTTCCTATCACCGTGGCCGTCAAGTCGCTTCCACCTCTTCCTAAGGTGGTGATGGCACCAGTTTTCTCTCCCTTTCCCAGAAAGCCCGTGAACACTGGCACTGCCTGATCTCTCCTCCAGTCTTCGTGCAACCGCTTCGCCACCGCCGGATAAGTTGCCTCCAGGATCTCCGCATTTCGAAACTCGTCAGTTGTGATAAACCCCGCCTCAAAAGCATCGTACTGCCTCGCCTTGACTCCAATCTTGTTGAGGTATGCCGCAAAAACCCTCGTCGACAGGCGCTCGCCGAATGAGACGAGGTTGTCTTGCGTGCGGGGGGTCAGCTCTTTCATCAGCGCGATGCCTGTAAGGAGCATGCCAAGCTCCTCGAACAAATCTAGGAAGATAAAAGAGAACAAGGTAAGAAACAAAACGAGAAAACAAGATGGAAAAACAAAACCGGAGACGAAAGTTTACCTGAAAACACAGCCTGGTCAATACCAAGTTCCTTGGCAGTACGAACATGGAGATCCTTGATCACAGAAAACTCTTCAATGTAGCAAGTCATTGGAACTCCACAATGGAGGGCCTTCTCGCCAGCCTGCACAAAAGAACTTAGAAGTTGATAAGTTTTTCTAGAAGAGAGAAAGTCCATACCGCAAGCAAGTTGTTCGTAGTCTTTCCCATGGCCGACAAAACTAGCACAGGCCTTTCACCCGGAAAGCTTTGCACGAGCGTCGCAACCTCCTTCATCCTCGCCGCAGACGACACAGAAGAGCCCCCAAACTTCATCACGCAAGTCAGCCCATCCGCGAAACTCTTCTCGCCATCTCCAACCTCCAGTGCCTGGCGATTCACGTCGTGGAGCGACGATTTCCTGTGCTCAAGCTCCTCCTGCTTCGTGGAAACCACCGCAGTAGCCGCCCCATTTGAAATACATCCACTCCATGCTACCCCTCTCACCAATCTACACTGTAATGTCGACGAATTCGCGAAGCAGTGGGAGCTCCTGGGCGGAGGCGCCAGATGCAAGCTAGAGCTGCTGTAATCTGGGAGAACCCGGCGGGCCAGCCACGGCCCGGCCATCCTAATAGCGGAGACGCGAAGATCTATGGCGAAATCTACCTCCGCGATTGCAATGTGGCTGATCCGGCCGCGCGCCGGCCCTCGCTGGGCGCCCCCGCCGCGATCGCTCCCCGCTTAAACCCTGCCGCAAATTAGGGCTCCTGGTTTGACAATGGCGTCACTATATTTCCATGGAACCATTACATGGAGATTTTCTTCTCCCACGATCTCTTGCAGCTATCTGGCGCTCTGAATCGAAATCTCTTTTCCTGGACGGGCGACGCCATGAAATCCTGCCAATCTTCCATCGTGAGCTTCAAATCGGCCAGCTTGGCCGCCATGCCCTTGCAGCAATTGGCGTGCATCGTGACGATCTTGCCCATGTCGCGCGCCCCGACGTCCCCGAAGTTGCTAAACAGTGATGTCGGCAGGAAATCTACACGAATTTCGAGCGCGCCAAACTCCGGGGACGATCGAAACGCGTTGAAAACCTGCTGCTCGTTCTTGCCCGGCTGCTGCTCCATCCGCGACGCCCAGAATTTGTAGAGCTTGATCGTCCTGGCGTTGGATCTGGCGTGGATGAATCCCGTGTTTGCTTTGCTCCTGCTCGCATTGCCTCGATGGAATACGTCGCACGAGACTGCGATGTCGGCAGCGCCGCGATTGAGATGGTTCCAAGGATTGCGGAGCCAAAGAACGTCCAAGTCCTGCAAGGAATTTCTTCTCAAAAGATCATCGAGGAAAAGTGCCAGATCTTGCCGTGAAGATGAAATTATATCCCAGCTCGAGAACTTCCCCGAGGAACTCCACTCTGCGCTTCATCATCCAGACGAAATCCCGCGACATAAACAGGGCCTCCCGCGACGAGAAATCCACGCCGCTGGTCTCGAGGAGGAGGCAATGCTTGTGGATCGCGAGGCAGCGCTGGTGAGCAACCTCGTCGAGGCTCACGAGGACCAGATTCTCGAGCAATTCAGCGGTCTTGTTCCCGGATCTAAAGCCTCCAAGGAAGATATCAAGGAGCGCCCCTTCTTCCGCCCATGCCTTGTTCAAGCTCGCCAAGATCACATTTTTACCTCCGTCGCTCGCGCTTGCTAGCACGGCGTCGCGATGGTTTCCAGGCGTGATCGCCATGCCTTGCTGCTGCCAAGGAAAGCCAAGTTACTCGAGAGTTCCACTCGCATTTCAGTGAATAGTCGTTACCATTGTGCTGTCTTTGGAGTACGAGGTGGCGAAGAACGTATCATCGTGAGTGCTCGCAATCAAGAAAACTACGAAGGCTGCAATGGAGATCACAAGACACACTTGCTGGAGCGCCAGAGAAGCCATAGCTTTTTGTCACGACAAGAGATGCTGCATTATTGCTCAGGAGAAAGGGAATCGTTGGCTCCACACTTTCTTCCAAAGTTCAACTCTCTGGAGAACCATAGCTTTCAGTCTACATGGACTTCACTCAAGAAAGTTTCAAAGTAGTGGTTCCATTTGGCTTTTCTTCAAAACTTCAGGGAGTAAATCCGTTGTAGTCTAGTTGGTCAGGATACTCGGCTCTCACCCGAGCGACCCGGGTTCAAGTCCCGGCAACGGAACAATCTCGCTAATAACGCGCTTATATACGTTCAATTTATCCTTCCTAGTGTTCCTTTTTTATGGCCTCGCAAGGAACTTCCGAGCGATAGTTCTGGTACTGCTTGAATGCCACTAGAGAGAAGAATGCTGCAAAACACGAGACATAAATCCCCGCGCTAGATACCAAACGAAGACCATACCGATCCAAAACCTTGAAGACATGGAGAGAAATTTCCAAATGAGAACAGCAGCGACCCCGGCCACCATTTTCTTGTGAGGACAACTCTCCCAGCCGGAACTCAAGTGGGACACGAGATGAATCCCTGCATTTGATGTGTTTGTCAACGAGGAAAACACGGACCACGGAGTCAATGCTCTCACCTTTTTCGTGGAGTTGAGCCGTGTACGACACGTAGAACTTTGGCACAAGGAAGGCTCCAAAGAACGCTACAGCATACGGGATCATGCGACTGCGAGATGGAAAGGCGACAGCGCTTACCAAGTCGGAAGATATTCCACAGTGACATCCAATACCCCACATGAGCTACGCACCACAGAGTTGCGGCAACCTGCAAAAATACAAGTATCACAGAGATTTGGAGCGTGTACTACCAAAAAACCTTGAGCGTCGTCCCCGGATCACCAGAGAATAGCTGCGAAAACTTAAAAAGCACGGCATTGAAAGCTGGCAGTGCGCCTCTTGTCAGCTCCAACGCTGCGGCTTCACTTATCTTCCAGGAATCGCTTGAAGAAGACGGCGCTCTACACGGACCATTTCAAAAGTTAGTGTGACAGCACTTTGGTGGAGAACCTTCTCAGAATGTTAATTCTGAAGAAAACAGCCGATAAATACGTCAATGCCAAGTACGACAGAGTCGTGACAATGCTGCAAAACGGGACGATTTAGCAAAAAGCTTCAGAATAGAATCACTCACTTCAAATGGATATCTTGCATAAGCGAGGCAGACAAAATGGCAAAAGCGCCAGCTCCAAAAATGAGCGACGACGTCGAGAAATCGCGCCACAGTATCACGTTCACTGCCAGAATCAAAAAAGGTCACAGGAATGGATCATCGCAATCGAAACACTTACTGACAAGCTGCATCCAGTCCTCCTTGTGTGAACTTTGATCTGTAAAAGACGTCGTAAATGTCAAAGAGAAAAAGAAAGACAAGGCTTTCAAATCAAAGACTATATCGTCAGGTCTAAACTTACACTCGAGACTAGACAAACACCCTCACCTCTTCCCGGAGGTCTGGAATGAAAAGAGGGCGATCCATTGACGCTACTGGCGCGTCCACCGAATGAAAAAGACGACGGCAGCGAAGCAAACAGCTCGGTGGCCTTTTGCTTGAACTGACGAGAATTCTTCTGGACTGGACTGGCTTTGAGCTGGATTGGATCGCTCTCCGGTTCCACGGGCTCAACCTTCACCGCCACAGGAACCGGTTGCCTCAGCACATTCCCCTCCACAGTCTGCTCGCAAGGCACCTCCACATTCCCACCACCATTGCCACCATTTCTCTCACGCACCGCATCGCCCCGCTGCTTTTTAGCACTACCATTTCGCATGGAAAAGGCCATGGCTTCTCCGCTACGTCTCACCATCTGATCCTCCGATCGCGAGAGCTTATCGTACCTCAATCGCCTCGCGGAGCGGCCATTCTCCTCGGCTTGCATCCGAGAGAGAATGGCGTTCCTGACGCTCTCCTCGTCGATGTCCATGGAATCGGGCACTCCTGCCACAGCCGGCATGATACGATCCGGGACCGAAACGGCCCGCCTGAAAACCCTAGCCTCGGAGGAATGGGGAGGAGCTGGAGCTGGCGCAATGCCACCGTTGGCGGCCGATTCCTCGCCCGTGCCCAGCTGCTGCGGGTGAATGCTCGCCGGCAGCGATCGAGATTGCGACAATGTAGCTCCGGAAGCGGTGGCAGAGGAGATCGAAGAGGAGGAGGAAGGGGACGGCGTGCGCCTGGCGACCAGCATTGGCGACGATCTCCTCATCGCCTCTGCTCTATCTCTATAAACCCTAGCTCCGTTGATGGAGGGGGCCAATAGCAAGCGGGTAAAGCGACGCTGGCCGTTGGGTTTTTTCGAAAGCTAAATGCCCTCAAATCAGTATAAGATTCCTTGCACGTGTCGCACGCATGCAGCCGTTGGATCCATCCAAACTCGCCAATTTTGAGCATAGTAAATTCACAATTTTTATAAGTTATAATCCAAGCCGGAGCGACAAATCTATGCCACCACCAGCGCTACCGCCACCGCCACCGCCACCGCCACCGTCACCGCCACCGCCACCATAGTTACCACCACCACCGCCACCACCACCATTCTGGCTATCACCATTTTGGCCTTGACCATGGCTGTAGCCATTGACCGGCTTGGACTTCCGGAAGTTCTCGTCGACACACCGACGCATGAACTCACCCGTGCGGAAGCTGGCAGCGCCGGCGGGCCGTGCAAACGTCATCGCCGGCTGTCGCAGGGAACTGGACTTCCCGATGTTTGCTCTTGGGGACAGCGACGACCACGCGGCAGCTCCCGGATGTTGGGAGCTGGCTGCCGCCGCCGCCGGCTGCGGGACGCACATAGTGTTGGCCACCATTGGCGTCGTGGAGTGGGCTTGGAGTCCCATGGACTGGACGCGGAAGGGAGCGGCGCCACCGGAGAATCTTGCACCGCCACCGCCGTGGTTCTGGTGGTGGTACCGCGACCAGGAGCCGTTGAAGCTGGCGAGGTTGCTGGTGTGGCAGCGGAGAGCCCGGCGGGCCGCCGACCTCTCGCGCTTGTGCGCATTTTGGTGGCCGCCCAGCGCCTGGGAGCTTGAGAATTTGCGGTCGCAAAAGGTGCAGGAGAAGTGGCGGCAGGGGCTCGATTGCGTGGCGGCCGTAGACGCTGGCGTGGGCGTGGCCACCTCGGCCGCCTGGTCCTGATCTGACGCTACAGAGGCCGACGATCGGGAAGTAGAGTGCTGGCACCCGGCGCTCAGGAAATCCGTGGCCGCCAGCTCCCTCGCCGCCTCCTCCTCCACCAATTCCTCCCTCCAATCCTTCCGTGCATCATCGTTCCTCCTGGCCTCCTCCTCCTCCTCCTCCTCCTCCTCCTCCTCCTCCTCCTCCTTCTCCTCCTCCTCGACCGCCTCTTCCTCCTCTTCCTCCTCCTCCTCCTCCCGCTGCCGCCACTCGATCTCCTGCTCACCTGATCGATCTTCCCGATCCAGCGTCACTCGGTCCGCCTGGAGGCCGCCATCGATTTGCATCACCGACCTCTCTTCTCACTTTCTCTCTCTATCCTTGCCCTCAAGCTTGTGCTCTCTTGCGATCGCTCCTCTCTCGTGCTCGATTGGTGGAGCCCTAGCGAAGCGATAGATATGAAGCAAACACAACTATTAAGCAAGGAGGCCAAGCTGGGTGTGAGTTTGTGTCAGGCTGACAGGAGCCTTCTTCCCATTGTGGAAAACTGCGCTACGTGGCAAGGGGCATATTCGGGGGATACAATCCGATCACGGGGTTGAATTGGCAAAGCCCCAATGGTCAAAAAGGGTCAACAATTAGTAAGATCCCGACAAAAACTCCCGGACGATGTTTAGCAAAAAGGCCGGTTCAAATTTAGGGAAATTCCAAAGTTTGGCTAAAAGGTCTGTTCGAATCCGGCGTGGCGTTAGGCACACATGGGGCTCCAGAACATATGACACGTCGAGATCTAGTTGAGGCTTGGCAGCCGTCGGATAAGTCGCATATTCTTAGAGCTGTTGGATCCTACGTGGCGACAAGACACGTGGGGTTCCAAACGTATGCCACGTGGAAATCTAATTGGCGCTTTGCCAACCGTTGGATGAGTCAATTCAAGTCCAGAAGAAAGTCTTTGACAAAGTCGAGATTGGAGGTCGTCACCGAAGGAGCCTAGCAATGTCACCACACTTGCGAACGCGTCTTGAGCTATGTATAGAAGACGTCGCGCGTGGGGCTGCCTTCCATCCTCCTCACATTGCCTCTTTTTCTCCATTCTCGTTGATCGATAGAGTGTAATTCTCGCCGCGATTCATTCAATCATTCCATCGATCGAGCGCGGCAGCCATGGGCGCCAGCAACTATGTCACCGGGATCATCAACTTCTGCACGTTGGTGCTCTCCATCCCGATCATCGGCGCTGGAATCTGGCTCGCCTCCAAGGGCGACACCGAGTGCGTGCGATTCCTCCAGTGGCCCGTGATCGCCATTGGCGTCTTCATCCTCGTCGTCTCCATCGCGGGATTCATCGGCGGCTGCTGCCGCGTCGCGTGGCTCCTCTGGTTCTACCTCTTCGCCATGTTCTTGCTCATCCTCCTCCTCCTCATCTTCACCGCGCTCGCCTTCGTCGTCACCAACAGGGGCGCCGGCCACGCGCTCTCCAATCGCGGCTACAAGGACTACCGCCTCGGGGACTACTCGACGTGGCTCCAGCGATATGTGGAGAAGCCCAGAAACTGGCGCCGGATCGGCAGCTGCCTCAGGGATTCCAGGGTCTGCAACGATCTCGACGGCGATTACAACACCCGGGACCGGTTCTACGCGGCCAATCTCTCGCCAATCCAGGTCAGTCACACGCAATTCCTCCCCAAATCTCATTCTTCTCCCAATTTGGATCCTCTGTTTTTGTCTTGAGTTCTTCCTGGCATTGCACTCCAAATCTTCTCCAATTCCGATCAATGCTCTCGGATTTCTCATCGATTTGTTTTGGTTTCCAGTCCGGATGCTGCAAACCCCCCACCGATTGTAACTTCCAGTTTCAAAACGCCACCACCTGGCTTCCATCCCCGACCACGGCTCCCGCGAACGCCACTGAGCGCGATTGCACGACCTGGAGCAACGATCGCAGCCAGCTCTGCTACAACTGCGATTCCTGCAAGGCCGGCCTCATCCAAAACATCAAGTCCAAATACAAGAGCGTCGCCATAGTCAATGCCGTTGTCCTCGTCTTGCTCGTCGTCGTCTACTCCATTGGCTGCTGCGCCTTTAGAAACGCCCGCAGGCAAGGGAACTATGGCCATGGTGGCTACTACTACGGCAAGGCTTAGCTTGTCAACTCCATAGCCATTTCTTCTTCCTCAGTGGAGTGTTTTTCGCTGCTCCCGATATTCTTTTCTTTTCTTGTCATTGTTTTGTATAGCTTGGATTGTTTCTATACGTGAATATCATTGACTTTCGAGCTCCTGGAAAATGATCTATGAAAACGCGTTAAGGAGAAGAAAAAGTCGGGAGGAAACGACCACCACGCTTACGCCAAAAGCTTGAGCTTACCTACCTAGAATACACCGTAAATCAGACAAAGTCTTGATTCGATTGTACGAAACCGAGAAACCTTCAAGCGAAAATCAGAACACTCTCGCGATTGATAGCTTACATTGCGGGCCTTGTCGCTCGACAATTACCGGGAAGACAAATTGTAAAGACGTGCTCACCTGTGAAAGATAGAGGCATCAGACAATGGAGCTATTCTCACCTTGCTCTGAGCAACTCTCGACGCTCTAAAGTGAATAATCAGTCCAGCGAGCCAATTCGAAAGTAAAAAGTCTCAGCGCAACCATGGAGACTCTTGAATAGAGCATCTATCGGCAAGAATTTTAGAACAAACTTTCCTTTGGGTAGCCATCGAGTGTAAGACGCTATAAAACCTCGAACCAGTACAGAAAAAGAGAAAACAATAAGAGGACAAATCTCATTACCAGCATTCCAACCCGGAAGATCCGAAGTAAAAGGAAAACTGGGAGACAGGCAGCGAATCGGTGTATGCATAGATTTCTTCATTGAGTTGTTCTTGAAACTTTTGCAGTTCAAGTAGCCTTGTTTAGTTGTCCCAAAGAAAACGAAAGAAACTCCTGTGATCACTGTGCCTATTATCGTGCACAAAGTGTCGCTTGGGGCAGAATTAGAGCAAATTAAAGAACACGGGGGTAAGATGAACTCGTTCTCGACTTCCGTCTCGACTTTTACTGATCCTTGTTTTTCATGTGTTGTTTTCTTATTGACAGGCAGTCCAGTTATCACTGTCTTCAATGGCAAGCGTTTCTTCCCTTCACGCAGGGAGTTCCTTGGGCTGTTTTTTTTTTTGCATTCAGCTTGTTTGAGTTGTTTACATTGAGCATACCATCTTTGACTGTGTCACTGTGTCGTTTGTCTCTCGCCATTGGCATTTTAAATAGAAAAGAAACAGCGAACCTAGCATCTTCAAACGTTGAGGAATTGTTAATCGCCTTGATCTTAGCCTACGGAATCGTCTCGTTCGTCTCCAGCAGCCTCTTCCAAGTGATCACAGCGTCCTCTTAAAAAAGGAGCTCGTTTCACGTTTTCCTTGGACGTTGAGCTGCGTTGAGTTTTATCATTTTAAAACCTCTAGCTCTTGAGTTCCGACATTAAGAACTCGCCATGTTAAACGAACATGAATCTTTTAGATCGTTCTCTTAAATCTTTAGAAGATTCTAAGCTCGCAGCTACAGAGCACTGGCACAAATCTCTCCACAGCCATGTGTCCACTCCTGGAGCTCCAAAGGAAAAAAAAAAAGAGAAGTAAATCTAGGGTTCTTGGAATGACATTGTGAAATGGGGGATGGCAGCCGCGGCCCTGGCGAGGAGATTCGAGGAGCGCATCAGGGCGTGCGCCATCGGGCGGAAGCTCCACGAAGCCAAGATCCTCCACGACGAGATCGCCCGCAGCCCCCACGGCGACAACCGCCGCCTCACCAATCTCCTCATCGACCTCTTCGGCAAATGCGGCGACCCCGACGCCGCGCGCGCGGTGTTCAATCGCGTCCGGCTGCCCAACGAGTACTCGTGGAGCTGCATCATCCAGGCGTACGTGAGCAGCTCCCGGATCCACGACGCGCGCGCCCTCTTCGACTCCATGCCGGGATTCGACGCCTTCACCTGGAACATCATGATCGCGGCCTACGCGCGCATCAATCGCCTGGACGACGCGCGCGAGCTCTTCCACGGGATGATCTCCGGCCGGGACGTGGTGAGCTGGGCGATCCTCGTCGCGGGCTACGCGCGGCACGACCGGCTCGAGGAGGCCAGCGCGCTCTTCCGCCGGATGCCGCTCTGGGACACGGTCACTTGCACGTCGGTCCTCCAGGGATATGCCCACAACGGGCATCTGGCCGAGGCACAGGAGCTCTTCGATCGGATCGGTGGCGCCGGCGATCGCGACGCCACTGCTTGCAACGCGATGATCGCGGCCTATGGGAAGAACGCCCGCGTCGATCTCGCCGAAGGGCTCTTCGCGCAGATCAAGCTGCGCAATGCGGCGTCTTGGTCCTTGCTGCTCCTCACCTATGCCCAGAACGGGCATCTGGATCTTGCCAAGAAAAGCTTCGATCGGATGCCCCAGCGCGACTCGATCGCCTTCACCGCGATGACCGCCGTGCTCTCCGACCAAGGCGAGCTCCGCGGCGCGAGAGAGATGCTGCGATACCTCTCCGCGGTGGACGTGATCGCGTGGAATGCGCTGCTCGAGGGATATTCCCGGACCGGGGATCTTGACGAGGTGAGGAGGCTGTTCTCCGCCATGGAGCACCGCACGGTAGCCACGTGGACGATCGCGATCCAGGGGCACGCGCAGTACGGCCGCGGATCCGACGCCCTGGATCTCTTCCTGGAGATGCTGCTCGAGGGCGTGGGCATTGACGGGCAGACGATGATGGGCGTGCTGGCGGCGTGCGCGCATCTAGGGCTCCTCGATCCGGCGAGGGATTACCTCGTGTCCATGGCGGGCGATCACGGCGTGGCCTGCGATCCGGGCCACTACGGGTGCATGGTGAGCGTGCTGTGCAAGGCCGGGCGCCTCGATCTGGCGGAGGAATTGCTCGACACGATGCCGGTGATCGCAGATGTGGTCGCCTGGACGGCGTTTCTGGATGCGTGCAAGATGTTTGGGGAGGCGGATCGAGGCGCCAGAGCGGCGGGGGAGATCACGCTGCTCAATCCCATGATGTCCTCGGCGTATGCCATGTTCTCCGAGCTCGCATTGAGCGAGCAGGATGAGGACCTCGACTCGTGGCGGGCATCCAGTCGTGAGATTTGTTGTTCTTGAGAGGAGCTGCCATCGTCGCAGCGCGAGAAACTCTCGAGGTACATTTGAGCAAGAGTGAGGGAGAGAATCATTTGCCGAATATTCCTACTATGAAAAATTATTCCAACGAAGAACCTGAGGAGTTAAGGAAACAAGAAGAAGCTCTACTGAAAGAAGCTCGACAAGAAGAAGAGAGGGTGAAGCTCGAGGAAGCAAGTACGTGGTTCCGGTTTGTATTGACTCAGACTTTTTTCTTTTTCCCCGTGAAACGTTTAAGTGGTTTTTGTAGGAGGTGGAAGCATAAGACTGATGATATGGAGGCTGCCAGATTGCGAAAACTACGAGCCCGAGCGGCTCTGTCATCAATGATCCTTGGCTTGCCGATCCAACACGGACGAAAGTACGTTACTCGACTTACAAAGCAAGGACTCGCCAAAGAAGACTTAAAAACGCATCGAGTCTCGCCTCTCAACAGCATGTGGGAGTTCTTGGACGTGCCGGAAATAGTTTCTCCGGTTCTCAGAGCTAAGAATCCACGGGCGAGAACTATTTACTGGAAACTGGTTTTCCGCATGGGAGACAATTCGTCCAAGGGACGAGGCAGTGAGCTTCCGGCGCAGTGGCTGAGGTCGAAGCTGATCAGAAATCTGGAAGGGAACACAGTAGCATGCTACGTCTCGAGCAACGTCGAAAACGTGCCATTGCGAGATTGGTCTCGACAGAAGCTTCCAGCCAAGTATCAACGGGGCAAGCGCTCTCTTGTTGGTTGACGAAGGCTCGCCTCTAAGTAGGATGCGCAGCAAGCTACATTCGCTGGTGGAATCTCTTCCAACCGGGACGTCTGTGCCGCTGTTGGTATTTTCAAGTGGCTTTGGATCAGACGAAGGCGATCTGAACAGAAGGCCGCCACCAGAAGAAGAGTTGGCACTGCTGCTTCAGCTACACAGATTGGACGGCGACAAGATCAGTAGCTGGATAATTTTATCGATCACTGGGAAAAGTGAACACGGGTTCTACTGCAGTGAGACTCTAGCCAGGGGTATTGAGTGGCTCGCGACTTTAGCGCCGGCTCAGCTGTGGATCTCCGCGACTTGGTGGCAGAAAAGCTCTACTCTACGTTAAACTCGTCACGGGAAGAAACCAAAGCCGGTCCCGGAGACTACGTTTTCAGCAAAGCGCTCCACGACGCTACAGCGGAGGTGACAAATGCTGTCAGTACGAGTCCCAGTCACTGGCCTCCTCGATCTCGTCGGAAGCTTGGTATAAGGATCAGGACACTCCTCCCGCAGGCTGGAACAGCTTTGCGACTTAGCACCCAATTTTCTACGCGCTGGAGCTCTGCCGACTGCCTCCCTTTCCTCGTCTTGACGAACGAACCACGTTTGCTCTGGCTCTCTCACCATTGTCGGCGGCGGCTCCCCGACTGCGTGAGAGCTCAATACATGTCTCTACTGGAAGTGTACCTGAGCAAGCTCGGCTACGAAGAACCGGAGGCTAACCGTGTCGCAGCCAGCATTTTGGATGGAGCAGTGAGCCTCGAGTGGTCGGAAGGTGGCCGCGCGGGCGTCGGGTGTTCCGGAGCATTTTCTGGACGCGTCCCAACAGCGAGCCTGGTAGGGGACTACAAAAAGAGTCTCGCGTTTGCTTCTCGGCTCCAAGGTGGCAACGTCCCCGAGTCGATCCAGGTGAGTTTTGTGGAGAGATACAACCAGCAGTACACCAAGGAGGCCGAGACTGCCTGTGATACTGCAACTTCAAAGCCAGAGGACGTTATGCTCAGGCACGAGCTCAAGTAGCGGAGATGAGCTCGAGCTACTTCCGAAGGACAGGGGCAGTGCTACCTCAGACGGAGCCAGAGGCACGACTGGACGAGCTAGTGGCAAGGCTGGACAAAAGGCTGAATGAAAACACTCAGGCAGCAGCGACTGGACTGGAAGAAATTCCTCGGCCGTGGACAGAGGACACGAAGCTGCTCGTGCTCACGCCAGAGGGGATCGACTTGGAAGTTTTGGAAGTGACGAGCCCGAGGTCTTCAAGCTCGGACAGCTACAAGAGGTTTAACGAGCTCTTGAGTAGCTGCCACAGCGCCCAGACGCTCGTCTCTGGCAAGCTACTGTGGTGTTTTTTATAACTACTTGACAAATGTTTGTAAATGTATTCATTTCTTTTCAAGGAAACCACAGGGTAGCTTTCTGTAGATCGTCTCGTTTTGCCACTGCCAAAGCGTACACTTCCATCTACCCATCGTTATGGAACGTTGTTCTATGTCACCGTTGCAATCTCATGGTGTTGCAAAAACAAAAGTTAGAGAAACCATAAAGAAAACTAAAGAGAACATAGACCTGGGGTTGAAGCCTCTCAATTCGTTGAACAAGCATTTTGGTTAGAACAAGCACCTGTCAAACTTCGACTTCCATATCCTTGAACAGCCGGAGTTTTCATGATCGTTGTTTTCATTGAGGTTGGACCATTGTCATGTAAGTTCTGAAGTCGCAGATGTCCAACGTTGTTTCTCAGCTCGCAGGTCTTGCGTTGAGCGCATTGCTGACAATCTGTCCAAATGTTGACATAGAATCTCTCCAATCTCGTAGCATTTTTCTTCTTAGACACAGCGTTTTTTAGTTCTCGTGGTTGAGCAGCACCAACATGTCACTTGTCTTTTTCATGACAAGAAATTAGAACAAATTGAAACACACACAAACCTGACAACATGAAGCTAAGTATGTCAACTTTCAATGATCGTTAATTTGTTCGTATTCACAAGTTTCCCTTCCCGTTGAAAGTTTCTTGGACCGTTGTTTTGCGCTTAGCTTGTTTAAGTTGTTTGAGCATATCATCTTAGCTTGACTGTGTCACTGGCTCCCTTTTGCGTTGAGCATACCCCGTCGACAATCTGAATCGAAAAGAAAGAGCGTCTTCAAACGTTGAGAGTTTCAACAAATTCTTGATTGCTTCTAGCCCCTCTTTTATCGTTGATCATTCTAGAGCATATTTCTTGTCTCCAGCAAATCTCTCTTGTTTCGTTGTCTTACTCGCTTATTAAACGAACTTACCTTGTGAGGCGAGAGTGGACTTGATCCGTCGCTGATCCTTGACCGGCCCTGATCGTTGTTTTCATTGAGGTTGGACCATTGTCAGGTAGAACTTCAGCTGGATTTAAGTTCTGAAGATCGCAGTTTCCCAACGTTGTTTCTCAGCTTGCAGGTCTTGCGTTGAACGCAGCAACAAAGCGCTGACAATCTCTCCAAAACGTTGACACAAAATCTCTCCAATCTAGTAGCATTTCTCTTCTTGGCACACGCTGTAACATGGCGTTTTTCAGTTCTTATCGTCGTTGAGCAGCACCCTTCATGACAAGAAATTAGAACAAATCGAAACACACGCAAACCTGGCAACGTGAAACTAAGTATCGTTGATCGTCAGTTTTGTTCGTATTCACACGGCGTTGTCCACATCGGTGAGTTTCCCTTCGCGTTGAGAGTTCCTTGGCCCGTTGTCTTGCACTTTGCTTGTTTGAGTTGTTTGAGCATATCATCTTAGCTTGACTGTGTCACTGGCTCCCTTTTGCGTTGAGCATACCCCGTCGACAATCTCAATCGAAAAGAAAGAGCGTCTTCAAACGTTGAGAGTTTCAAAAAATTCTTGATTGCTTCTAGCCTCTCTTTTATCGTTGATCATTCTAGAGCATATTTCTTGTCTCCAGCAAATCTCTCGTTTCGTTGTCTTACTCGCTTATTGCTAACACAAAGAAAACTGAACGAACTTACCCTGCGAGGTGGAGAGGTGCGAGTGGACCGGGCCTGTCAAGGATCAGCGACGGATCATGATCGTTGTTTTCATTGAGGTTGGACCATTGTCATGTACATTTTCAGCTGGATTGAAGTTCTGAGATCGCCGTTGTTTCTCAGCTCGCAGGTCTTGCGTTGAACGCAGCAACAACACAACTCAAAGCGCTGACAATCTCTCCAAAACGTTGACACAAAATCTCTCCAATCTAGTAGCAGTTTTCTTCTTGGCACACGCTGTGACATGGCGTTTTTCAGTTCCTATTGTCGTTGGGCAGCACCAGCATGTCACTTGGCTTCTCAATGACAAGAAATTAGAACAAATCGAAACACACGCGAACCTGGCAACGTAAAACCAAGTATCGTTGGTCGTTAGTTTTGTTCGTACTCAAACAGCGTTGTCCACGTCGGTGAGTGTCCCTTCGCGTTGAGAGTTCCTTCAAGCGTTGCGAGTTTCAACACGATTTCTTGATCGCCTCTAGCATACCTCTTAGCTCGTTGCAAGCAGCTTCGCTTTCCAAATCTGTCTTACTCCTAACGCAAAGAAAAGCCCTACCTAAACGAACTTACCTTGCGAGGGTAGCCGTTGTTCACGAGCTGCCGCTGTGGCGCCCAGTAGGGCGACGTCTCGGTGAGGGGAGAGAGGCGAAGCGGCCTACCTGGAGCTCCGATCAATGGGCAGAGTGGAAGGGTCGCGAAACCCCAAGACGCGGCATCCATCACTGCTCTAGCCCTTTATCACCGATGAGCCCTAAACTTGAGCTAAGTACCACCGTTTTATATAGACAGGGCAAAAAGGGGGAGTTCTCAATTAGTGCAAAACGAAGAATCTTACGAGCTACTTAATTACTCGAGGAATCCTGCTGAGGCTCTTCCGTGCTGCTGTTGCCAGCACGGGAAGCTTCTGGATCTCAGCCGGCGACAGGATCCGTATGCATCGCACCGTCGTGTTAAACAAACACAACATGAAATGCGTCTCTGACGAGCAGCATGTCGCCTTCATTATCTACGTACACACGTTCAGGTTCTCGTCAATGCCGAACAGATGCTGCAGCTCCTCCAGGAGTTGCGTGTTGCATGTATAATCCCCAAAACTTGGACAAGTCCAAAGCTCGTCCCACTGCACCCTGTTTGTGAACTTTTGAAAAGTAGAAGATTCAGAGTCTGGCGCTTCAAATAAAGAATGAGATCTTACTTTGGTGCACGTCCTGCTTGGTTGCTGTTGTTGCTGCTGCTGGTTCCAGTTCTGGCCAGTAAAACACTTCCTGAAGCCGGAAGTTTCCAACTCGAGATCCTTGTGGACGTCGTCTTTGGCGGTGCTGGCCAAAGCTGTCTTTGGTTTCAACGAGACGAGAAACCAAATAGTTTGCACTTGCGGTGGGAATCGTTTGCATTACCTCTCGCAAGAGGCTCCTCACCTCCTGAAAGAACAAAAAAGAGTTAAAAAAAAGCATTACATAGCAAGTGACGACGGATTTCACGTACTGTGGGCCATTAAGAAAAGAGTTGTCTGTTGTATGTTGAGGCTGCAAGTAGACTGGGCAACTTAATGCTGCTTGCCGAGAAGCGAAGCTGCTGGTTGGAGAAGGCTGCTGCGGTTTCTCGAATTGTGGAGGAAACTTCTGCTCTCGAAACTGCTGAACACAAAGCCTAAGCTGCTGCTGGTGCATATCGACTTTACGATGAGATGGTAGCCCCTCGTTTCCGGGCTTTAGCAATCCAGAAGGAAAACCAGGAACACTATGACCCTCAGTAACTCTTGGAGTTATCTTAGCCTCAGAATAGAGAGCTGTAGGGAAATTTTTCCCTTGGCCTCACATTGGAAGCAATAAATGGCTCTATCTCCTGTCTTTTGCTAGCCGCGTGCTTGTCCCAACCGACCTATATAGAAGACAAGACTCTTTACCTTTAGGAAGCGCCATTTAGAGCCATCAATTCCAGTAATAGTTCCCATATATCTGACTGTTAGCAAAAGGAGACAAAACAAGAGATTCACCTCAAAACGATTTACCTTCTTTCCGACGAATCCTCAGTCTCAAATCTCATTTTGAAGCGCATACCAATAAAAAATTTCATCTTGAAAGATTTCACGTACTTGTGGTATGGAACAACAAATTCAGCTGGACTAGCACAAATTCACCACTTTGCCGTGTTAAATCCAAAGAATGTCAAACGAGGATTGTAGAACACGGTGAACATGGTCTTAGTGGGTACAGCATGAGCAGCAGCAGCCAGGACTCTGATTTGCATACTGTGGCTAGACAGTAGCGAAGACGAAGTGAAACTGCTCTGCGTGCGCACAGCACACCCAATACCGATTCTCAACTCACCATGATCTCCCCTACGTGCTACGTAATATTATTACGGTATGCAAAACAGATCAAAAGGCTTGAAAATTTTATAATGACCAACAGTATCGGCTTCTTCTGGCTTACAAACACACTCCACCCTGTCGTCGAAAGATGCCTTCGTGGTTGTCCTGGATAAGAGCAGAATTTTGTAAGAAAGTATAGGTGGGACTTCCATTCAAGATCTTTTGCTGTAATCTCCTTTGCTGGAGGGGTTTGCTGATAATCCTGAAATCGAGTTTAACAAATATATTGAGTGACATATATCAGGATATATGAGCCTCGGTTTAGAGAAGCTCCTCGGTTTACTGCTCAGAGTCCAGAACACTACAAACGGATATGACAAAGTACGTTTCATTCAACGCTATGCAAGAAGCTCCAACGGAAATGGTGGAAGAAGAAATGCCCGACTATGACGACGGACAAACAGTCTTTATCGATGGTAGTCGAGACACCGGTTGCTCCATCTTACATCTTTCGGACTGGATCGTTTGATTGGTTACGGGCGCTTAATTTTAGCCAGCCAGCCGAGAAGCACACTCTGCTGCCAAGTACGCAAGACAGCATGGTAGCTGAGAAAACGTCCACAGGGAAAAAAACTCGTTCAGACAATTATGAGGAGCAGGACCACTCTCCAAAAAGACAGGAGATTACTAGTCCTGGAGAGATTTAGCTGAGGAGTTAGAAAGGAAAGAAGAAGAAGCTCGACAAGAAGAAGCAAGGATGAAGTTTGCGGTTTGTATTGACTCAGATTTTTTCTTTTTCGTTGTGAAACTTTTAAAGTGGTTTTTGTAGGCATACTGTGAGATTGTAGTAATACCTATTGTATTACAATTGGTATATTACTCTAAAAATTGGTGCACACAATAAAAAATTAAATTTAATAGTAAAACATGAAAAATTTGGTCCCTGATAACAAAAAGTTAACTCTATCACAATTTCAAATGGTTTTACCTTTTAGTGACAACATAAATTGTAAATAATGTCCTATTGTCTAGATGCTCCAGTTTCAAACGAACAGAGCATTGTTTGTTATTTGGTTAGTGCATTTGTTCAGATTCTGAGCACAGCATTTTACAGTTGACACCATTTGCACGGATACACCAACTATCACCTCTAGAGTCTTTGTCATAATGTTAATTATGAACCTTTGACATAATGTTAATTATTTTAGTAGTCTTAACTCATCCTTGTCTTCCCTCTCTTCAACTCCACTGAGACTGGGGCCTATGCTTTCTTTTTATTTTCACTCTTGCAGTAGAGATTGAAGGTCACTCAAAGATTGTTCAGAGTGAATTTTACTTCACTCTTCTTTATCCAAAATAAAATGCTACTCTTTTTTATTGCACAAAGAAAACATAAACCCGGTTCTTCAGGTCGCTGTCCCAACATGCTTCTCTACGTGTAATCTCTTCGCGTTTCGGAATGCCCGGCATGCCACAACGTACACCAAGACGAGTACTGCCACAACTACGATGTTGACGATCGCCGCTGTCTTCCAGTCCCCTCGGATATCCTGCTCCACCACGCCCGCCTTGCAAGAATCGCAATCGAAGCACAGGCGCGTAGGATCGTTGCTCCACCTCGCGCAGTCGGGATTACTACCGCTGCTCCTCCCGCGGGATGGCGGATCCCAGGACGTCGCATTGCGGAAGACGAGATCACATTCTAGAGGGGGCTTACAGCAGCCAGACTGATTTGGAGGAAAGAAAGATTTTAGAGGTAACATTTCGATCGCAAGGACCAGGGAAAGAGAGAGCATGTACCTCCACAGGAGACAGCCGCGCGGCATCGAAGCTCTGGATTGTTGGGTACGCCATCGCCAGATCCCGGCAAACGTCCAAATCCTTCAAGCATCCCTCGATCTTCCTCCATTGCTTCGCGCCACCGACGCGTTTCCTGAGCCAGGGCGAGTAATCCCCGAGACTGTACTCCCGGAATCCCTTGCCGGGAAGGGCGCGGCCATGGCGCGTGCCACTGCTCACGACCATGGTGAAGATGGTGTCGGCGAGCAGCAGTAGGATGAGGATGGAGAGAAGGAAGAGATAGATCCAGAGCAGCCATGGGACCTTGAAGCAGCCGCCAATGAATCCGGCGATGGAGAGGAGGAGGAGGAGGATCCCGATGGCGAGCACCGACCACTGGAGGGATTGGACGCAGTGGCTATTGGCGGAGGCGAGGAGCCAAATCCCAGTGGCGATCACTGGGAGGGAGAGCAAGAGCGTGAAAACACTGATGATCGCAGTAATGTAGTTGCTAGCACCCATTCCCTCCTTATCTTTTAACTAAAGAAACAACCCCCTTTAGGGTTCAAGATAATGGTAAAATAATCTAAATCTTTTAACTAAAGGAACAATCCCCTTTAGGGTTCAAGATAATCGTAAAATAATCTAAAATGGCCACGTGTTGGGCAAAGCAAAAAGGAAATATCTTTAAGTTTTAAAATAATCTAAAAATGGTGGTGGGCAAAGCAGAAAGGAAATATCTTTTCTTGAAACCCTAAAGAGGGTTAGTTAAATCTTAAACCCTAAACCCTGAATGGTATATGCTTTTGGCCAAGACATGCCAGAGGAACAAGGCGGGATGGAGGGCGATCGCCATTCCGGCAGCGGCGCCGCCATCGCCACCATCGCCACCGTCATCGCCACGCACGGTGAGTATAAACGACTACGCATCGCTGCTATGGCAATGCCGCGGCTTGGACGAGGTGAGGAAGCTCCACGCCCAAATCGCGGCCCGGAAGCTGGATCGCAACACCTTCCTGGGGAATGTCCTTGTCGATGCTTACAGCAAGCACGGCAGCCTCCATGGCGCGCAGCTCGCCTTCGGCCGCATCACCCTCCACAACGCCCACTCGTGGAACATCCTCATGGCCGCGTATGCCCAGAACGGGCATCCGCGCGGCGCCGCCACGCTCTTCCACTGGATGTGCTCGCAGGGCGTCCGGCCCAACGCAGTGACGCTCAGCACCGCGCTGCTCGCCTGCACCGCCGCCAGGAACCTCGCGCTGGGGCGGAAGCTCAACGAGCTGATCGCGAGCGAGGCGCTGGAGATTGACTCCCACGTCGAGAGCAGCCTCATCACCATGTATGGCCGGTGCCGCGAGATCGAGGAGGCCGAGCGGGCGTTTGATCGCAGCCCAGAGAAGGACGTGGTCTGCTGGACCGCGATGATCTCCGCCTATGCCCACAACTGGAGGACGTCGCGGGCGCTCGAGCTCGTCTGGAGGATGGATCTGGAAGGCATCAAGCTCGGCTTGCCGACGTACGTGAGCCTCCTGGACGCCTGTGCCAGCACCATGGATCTCCGCTCCGGCGTGGCCTTCCACCAGAGAGCCGCTGCTATCGGACTGGACCGCTCCAGCACCGTCGTCGCTGGCACGCTCGTCAACCTGTATGGGAAGTGTGGCCGTGTGGACGACGCCCGGAGAGTTCTCGACGCTATGCCGGTGAGGACGAGCGTCTCCTGGACAGCCATGATCGCCGCCTATGCCCAGAACGGGAACGCTGCCGAGGCCATCAACCTGTTCCAGTGCATGGATCTCGAGGGGGCGGAGCCGTCCGACATAACTCTCATCTCGGTTGTCGACTCGTGCGCTGTGCTCGGGACCCTGTCTCTCGGGAAGAGGATCCACGCTCGTATCCGGAGCTCACCGCTGTTCTCCCAGAGCTTGATGCTGCTCAACGCTGTCATCACCATGTATGGCAAGTGCGGCAACTTGGAGCTCGCCCGAGAGGTGTTTGAGAGTGTCCCGCTGAGGACGAGGAGCGTCGTCACCTGGACCGCGATGATAAGAGCCTACGCACAGAATGGTGTCGGCGAGGAGGCGATAGAGCTCTTCCAGGAGATGGTCATCGACGGTGGCACCGAGCCGAATAGAGTGACTTTCCTCAGCGTTCTCAGTGCTTGCAGCCACCTCGGTCAGCTCGAGCAGGCCTGGGAGCACTTCTGTTCCATGGGACCGGACTTTGGAGTGCCACCCGCGGGCGACCACTACTGCTGCCTGGTCGATCTTCTGGGTCGAGCTGGCCGGCTTGGCGAGGCCGAGAAGTTGCTGCTGCGGCATAAGGACTTTGAGGCGGACGTTGTCTGCTGGATTGCGTTCCTGAGTGCCTGCCAGATGAATGGAGATCTGGAGCGGAGCCAGAGGGCTGCCAAGAGAGTGTCTGAGTTGGAGCCGGAGAATGTTGCTGGCCGCGTTCTGCTGTCAAATGTGTACGCTGCCAAAGGTAGGAGAGCTGACGTTGCTCGAATCCGGAACGAGATGAAGTCCTCTGGCGTTAAGAAGTTCGCAGGCCGGAGCTGGATCGAGATCAACAATAGAGTTCACGAGTTCATGGTGAGCGACGTCAGCCACCCTCGAAAGCTGGAAATATATAGCGAGCTTGAGAGGCTGCACCGAGAGATCAAGGAGGCCGGATACGTCCCGGACACGAAGATGGTGCTGCGGGACGTGGACGAGGAGAAGAAGGCCCAGCTACTGGGTTACCACTCGGAAAGGCTTGCAATGGCTCTTGGCATCATCAGCACCCCTCCCGGAACTACTCTCAGAGTTGTCAAGAACTTGCGCGTGTGCTCTGATTGTCATGCTGCAACCAAGTTCATTTCCCAAATTGTAGGAAGACAGATTATTGTGAGGGATACCAGCCGGTTTCACCACTTCAAGGACGGCGTGTGTTCGTGTGGAGATTATTGGTAGTAGCTCGTAGACACTTTCAACGCGGTGGGACTCCTTGACAGCAGCCCAGGATTCTGATTCCTTTCTGTACCAGCAACACACAAACGAAATTGAATTCAACTAGCTATTAAATGCTCAAATCGAAGATAGTCCTTACAAGTCACGAGCCAGAAAAGTTAGTTGAGCGCGCTGAGAAGGTCCAGAACGCTGCAGGCCGCTTGCTGGAACTTCTCCTTCTCCTCCTCGAGCCGTGCCTTCTTGGCCACGGCGAAATCTCTTGCGTGCTGGAACTCCTCCGTCACTTCCACGTAGGTTGTATTTATGTTCCTGGGACGACCAGTCAAAAGTTTTTTTGTTTGCGCGGCGCCCACACAAGAAGCTGTCAGTAGCCTATAAGTAGAAGAAAAAGCTTAAACGGTCTTACGCTATGGCAGGAAGAAGCTCCTCCATGACTGTTTGCGTCTGTTGGATCACACCTGATTAAACACAGATGGATAGATCGGAGATCAAGTAAGAAAGAAAAAATCGCACGAATTCGAGGAGCGCTTACCGGTAACAAGACCGGACAGCTTCTCCGCAACTGGATCCGGATCGTCCTCAGCCGACACCGCATCGTTGTCCAGATCGGCATCCTCCTCAACGGCAGCGGCAGCTCCAGGCCGAGCTCCCGCTGCGGACACGGAATCAGGCGCCGCGCCTCCACCTCCGCCCTGCTGCCCTACATTCTCCATCGCCATAATATTTCTAGGGCGGATCACGAGCCCCAAATTTTAAACACCTTTCCCGCCCATTTCATGTTTTAGGGCTTATGGATTTAGGGGTTCGCCTTCTACGAATCGAATCGATAGAATTCAATGGATCGCGTCAGCGTGCTTTTGGGGAATGGTTTCCTCTCTTTCTGGATTGATTGATTCCTCGCAATGGCGATGATGTGCATGTACCTCAAGCTTCCCTCCACGCCGTGCGCGTTTTCCCCTCTTTGTTTGTATATTGCGGCACTTGCAGCGCTTTTAATTCGTTTGTTGCCTTCTTTCTTTCCTTCGGCACCACCATACGACGTACTGCTATTGCTCTATTCTTTCTTCCTATCTTCCACTTTCCTTTCTTTTCTCCTCCTTTCCTTGTGTGTGCTTTTGTTTGTTTGTTTCTTATTACTTGTCAAACAATCAATGTTTGTGGGTGTGTGGGTGTGTGGGTGTGTAAGAAGATTGGAATGAGAGAGTGCTGTTAAGATTTTTTTCTTTCTTCCACTCCTTTCTTCCTTGTCAAACAATATCTGTCGCAAGCTAGCTCAGAACAAGTGTTAAAGATTATTCTCAATTTTTTTTTGGAAAGCATGATCATCGAATATCGAGTCGTCTAGCAAATCCCTGCAGAAGAGCCGATCTTGTTGCTCATCTTCTAACAATTCTAGTAAAGGTAAGTCATTGCATTTTGATCTAAGCCCGGAGAAAATACTAAAGAACCTTGGTGGTGGTGGTGGTGGTGGTGGTGGTGGTGACTTAGTTGATCGTCAGCCGCGGCAAGAACCTCGCTACGATCATCGTGATCGTCATTGTCAGTAGCAGCAACAGTGGCAGCCACTTTCTTGAGATTAAACTCCCGACTGGAGCTCGTCACCAGCTCGATCAAATCCAGCTCTTGCTGCTGCTGTTGCTGCTGCTGGTGCCGGTTGATCGAATCGTGCTCGCTGCTCCAAAACGATTGCTCGTCATGACCGACGTGTTGCTGCTGCTGCTGCTGCTGCTGTTGCTGCGAGAGGTAACTAGAAAATTGATCATCGTTGTCCAGGTGAAGCATGCTGGGATGATAAGTCTCTTGCTCCTCCATGGCTGCTGGATTAGCCGTGCCGTGATCTCCCAAAACGCTGCTAACGTTGCTAAGATCCGCCAGGCCCTGAACTGTACAGCGCTGGCACTTGCATGGAGTTAATGCTGGCGGGCAGCAGCAATCGACGTCGTCCACTACTACGTGATGAGGTTCCACGAACAAAACATCTGCCGCTCGTCGCCCGCTGCTACCGCTGCCACTGTTAATCTGGTTAAGATGGTTACTGACGTAGAAGTTGCCAGTGTTTGTAGACGCTGGAGTGGGCCATGGAAGCTGCTGGAGATCAAACTGGTGCTGTTGTTGTGATCCTCCGTTTGATCCTCCTCCGCAACCACCACCGGCGCCATCGCCTGCGCTGCCGCTCAAGGTGAATCCTCCTCCTTCACTCCACACTGTGACTTGAGGATTATAGTTTCCTGGCAGAGCTCTGGCCTCTCCCCACGACGACTGCAACGCGTTGCCCGTGATCAAGCTCCCAAAGCTGGCGGCGGTGGAATAGTCCTGGAAGTCCGACGCGGCGGCGGCGGCGGCGGCAGCGGCGGAGATGATGTCCGCGATACCAGTGCTGGTACTAGCGGCGGCCGCGGCAGCATCGCTCTCCATCATCCTCTGGAGTAGCTGGTCCACTTCGGTGGTGCTCATGCTCATGCTCGTTGGCGGCGGCAAAGCGCTAGCACTGGCTGCTGCTTTGGAGGATCTGTTGGAGCGGTGATTCAGGGATCCTGAGCCGCCGCCGCCACTGCCAGGGGACTGGTGGTGGTGGTGGTGGTGGTGGCGGGATCTTTTGGCGGAGCTACCGCCGCCGGTGGGCTGGCAGTTTATTCTCTGCTGATAGTCGCGGAGAACTGTGGAGCGCGGCACCACCTCGAGCGTGTCGGAGCCATCGGCGGGCTTTCTGTGCTTGCGACGGAGGTCTTTTCTTCTCATGGTTGCGTTCCAGTGGTTTTTGATGGCGTTTTCTGTGCGTCCAGGAATGAGCTTGGCGATATCTGCCCATTTGTTTCCCAGCCGATTGTGCGCCGAGACGAGAAGCTGCTCTTCGTCCTCCCTCCAGATGTCTCTCTGAAAGCACAGACCAAAAGAAAGAGAAGCACGATTTTCAAGGCATGAGTTTATATCATCTTCAACAAACATCAACATCAAACATCAAAAAGCTTCTTTCTTTTCTCCTCAAACAACAGATAGTCGATTTTACTGAAAACGAGGAAGAGAAAATGGATTAAGGTTCTTCGTTTACCTTGATATCTGGCTTGAGGTGATTGTGCCATCTCTCTCGGCACTGCTTTCCAATCCGCCCAGGAAGATAAGTTGCTATAAGCGACCATTTCTGGCAGCCGTGCTTTGCAACAAGCTCGCCTAGAAACCTGAGACAAACCAACAAGAAAGGAAAAAAGAAAAAATCGTGAGTTCCCAATTCGCAAGGGGGAAAAAAACTTTGGAAGCGAAAGAGGATCAAGGAATTCCAAGTAAACCTGTCTTCCTCCGGCGTCCACTGGCCCTTGATAATGTTTCGTTTCTTGTTGGAGCTGCTGATCCCGCCGCTGCTCGATCTACTGCAGTTGCGCGCTCTCAAATCCGCGGCCTCTACGTGGTGATCTAGGATGAGCCGCTGCTGCTGGTCCCGCTGCTGCTGCTGCTGCTCCCGGAACTTTGCATTCTCCTCTAGCTGCATGTCGAGGAGGTGCGCCTTTTGTGCCGCGCTCGCAAAGAGCAGGAAATTCTCGCTGCCCATGGCGCGGGCGCGCGCCCCCTCTCCTCTATCACTTTCAATCGATGGATCGATCGCAGTGAGCTTAGGTCAGGGAAGGAGGGCTCGGGAGACCGAGCGTCAGTATATGTCAGAACAATTGATCCATTTTTTTCCCCTTCTTTTTCCTCTCTTGTGTAACGGCTGGGCTGGGTTTTGAAATCGCACACACGCATATATTTGGTTTTTTAAATGGCGAATATACCCGTTGGTGCCGCTCGGACCAGGCGGCGGCTCCGGGCTGCCACGTAGGACGAAGGCCTTGGCATTTGTGTTGTGTTCCATACTAAGCTGCTGTGCTGCTGCCGCTGGTTGCTATTTTGATACACAATCATGGCGGAGAGCCACCAACTTCTAACAATCATCGTTTAGGGCACTGGTGTCGTCCCAGTCAGCATGACATGCGACGGGATCTATATGCGCTGTCTGAAGCCGCGTTTTCTTAGCCAGTAAGATACGGGATGGATATCCGGTGCGGGAATTTTGGCAACTTACAAATTGCTACCATTCTGTTAATTGCTATTTTTATATATATAAATTCAAGGAATATCTTTTGTTTCATACCTATTGTAGTGGCATTTAGAGAGAGAGAGAGAGAGAGAGAGAGGGAGGGTATATCCCAATTTCTAGGATATATATGCTTGAGAGGTCAGATATAAGTCCATGCTTCGCACCCAAGAGAGAGTGTTTGGTGTGAGAGTGAAGCCAAGTTGACACCTATGGAAGATTAATATGAATCCTCTTGATTAAGAACCACCTCTAAATGTGTGTCAAATTCAGGACTGGTGCTTGAGTGCTTTTAGTAGTCTTCTATATAAAAAGGCCTCTCTAGCATTTATCTTGTTAGAGTAGCATGGGGAATGCTTGTTATCACATTTAATTTCTTACTTTGCTAAGGCAGGACTGGATCAAGGTTAGGATTGTTTTCAATTAACAAGAATGCAAATAGATTTATAACAGTTGTTGTTGGAGAGAAAAGCCTTCTTGCTCAGTATGCTTTTCATTTAGATTATATTGCTTCATAGCATTTATGGTTTACCATATATTTAAGTTTGGATATGGGAACAACACTATTTTATTTAAGACAATCTTTACATTCCATAAATATGGCCAAATCACATATCTAAGCACTTTCCATAAATAACTTATGGAACTAAAACAAGTAGTCTCAGAGAAATTTTCTCAGATAATTAAGGTAGTGAAAACATTTGGCAAACATTGTAAATTATCATGTAGTGATGCCTAATATGCAAGGGTTGTTGTCAAGTCAATATAAGACAAAGCAAAAAAGAGCTAGCAAACTGGACCATGTTTGGATAAATAAACATTTAGAAATTTCTTTTTTATGCTCATTTAGTCAATTATAGATACTAAGTTTAATTTAAGTGAATATGATTGCAAGTATCAAATCAATTAATCCTTTTGGATATTCTTTCTTTACTGCCATGACGGTAAAAAATTGATATTACTAAACCCTTTATCCTTGTTCAAATGTTAGTAAACTTTATTTAGCATCTATACTTAACCAAACAAGCATAAGGAAAGTGTCTATTCAGCCAAATCAAAATGATGTTTATCAACCAAATTCTATACTCATGGTTGCTTAGACTGCTTGGATTAACTAAACCAAAATGAAGTTCATCAACCAAAATCTATATATATAGAACATAATAACCAAAATCTATACTCAAGGGACATATGTGAAGTTATAGCAACCAAATATGTACCCACTCATCCTTTGGGTATGGATTTTGAATACCATATTCCATACCTAATATTTGCATCATGCAATTGAGAGTTTCTATTATGATGCATATTGGTTATAATGATTTTACAAGTAATGAATCATGAGATGGATAGTAGTGAAGTGTTAAATCATTTTGTTTAAGTTTGTTATTGGAAGGCTTGGGTTACAATGGCTAATTCTTTTTCAAGGAAACTTACTATTGCTCCTTGAGTAGTTTGGTATTGGATTAGTTTTGAGTTTAATTAGAAAAATAGTAATATAGATTTGTCTATATTTTGAATGAAGTTAGTAGTGTTAGGTGTTATAAATCTTTATTGATGGGGATAATTATGTTGCATTTTGTTGAATGGACATGGCACTTGATATTCACATAAACCTTTGAAGTAATAATGTGGGCTAGCTAGTGGTGTTGCTAAATTGATGATTAAGTCATTGTGATTACTATATCATATCTATGTGATTGTGAGTAATGTGTTTATAAAGTTGTTTAGTCAAACAATGATAAACCCTAAAGTGATTGATGGTGAAACTAATTTACTTGCATATAGTAGTATTATAGTAGTTTTGACTAAGTTTTAAAAGTGATCTATTATTCTAAGTTAAGTGTTGGTACCTTGGTTCTTTGAGGGTTTTCCCATTAAGGTTTTTCAAAATGTTATAATATTCATTTATTATAACTTATTAGTTAATTTGTTACCACTTGGAGTAAATTGTTGAATTGAAAAAGTGTGTAGTTGGGACATTGATATTACTAACACTTAGCTTTGGCATTTTGCCGAATTTGAGCATTTGGGAATCCTAAGAAACATATTTCCTTTCATATAACCTGTTAGCATAAGATAACACAAAATCACTACTTTCATCCTTAGGGTATCTTTTTGGTTTTTGAGTTAAAACTTTATTTTGTTAAGTCTAAGGGGTGTTTACCGTTCATAAATCTCTTTAGCATTTTCCATTCTAAGCTCTATCTACAGCCTAATTTTATGACCATCTTATAAGTCCTTCCTTAGAGACTACTTTCCTAGACTCACATTACCATTGTATTGTCATATCATATCTCACCTAGATGTCTTTCCCATTTGATCATATTAACTAAGTCATACCACACCATTTGTTCAAATCACTATTTTGAACTAAGAACTATATTCTTTAATCTAACAAAAAGCTTGTCCTTGTTTAACCATAGGATCACCTACTTGGTGGTGTGCTCAAGCCAATTTCTTTACTAAAAGTCCATGACCATTGAAAAATGAATGTTCTTATATTCCAAACTATCATCAGCCTTAGTGTATTGGGACTCAAACCCAAACATTAAAGGGTTGGGATTCAAACCCAACTTTTATATATATATCTACGGATAGCATTACCCAAAATGCTTAGCATAACTCCTCACACCTGTGCACTAACTTATATATAACACATGCTATAAATTATAGATTAGGAATCTAGCTTCTCCGAGCTTCCAAATCCTTCACTTGACAAACTAATTGACTAACTTATGATTATGCATAAACTCCTCTATATTTGACCCTATGGTTACCCTCTTGAAGTCATTATTTTCAACTAAGGCTTTTGTTCCTTTTACTTGCCAATCTCACTTAGCAAGTCATGCAACCAATGTAATATGGTTCTATATATAAGTGTGAAAGTCCTTAAATATCAATTTTCATTCAAAAACATCTCTTTGAATATTTAGGAACTATCTCCCCAACCTCCTCGCCACATGGCAAGCTTCAAAATCATGTAAATGACACGGGTTCAATTCCCATTGATTAGTGGCTACTTAAAAAAAATATTTTATTTTTATTTTATTATTTTTACTTTTTTTTCCCCTAAATTTAAAATCGTTCCATACATATGTCTTTCCTTTTCATTAGACTACAATACGGGTGAATGACTAATTGCCTCACATAGAATAATTAATCTACACAATAGAATGGTATGCACAAAGTTTTTAGAGGTTTTCATTCTACACTAGTGGTAAATTCATATCAATTTGTAAAAGTATGAGACTTTGTGTTAAAATAATTATTCTTTAAATCCATTTGTGGTTGTAAATTTTAGAGTTGTTAAGTGATTTTTGCAATGGTTCTGCTACACCACTATAATTTTACACATTCTTATAAACCATTTACACTCATTTTTCTAAATAGTAAAGGGATAGAATTGAATCATAAGATTTGAGAGACATAACCTAAAGTAGTTATACAAGTTAGAAAATACTCCTTATTTAGGAAGTCCATCATTGAAATATATAAACACCTTAAAACACCAAAGAAATGGTGTTTAGTATCATGAGGGCATTAAATAAATCTCTAGAGAATAATGAATATAAAGTGTTATCTAATGTCCAAGGAAAGCTATAGATAGGGTAGGTTCATCTATCCTAAATAGATAAAGCCAAAAAAAATTTAGCATGCCTAGCAATTGACATAGAGAAGCCCATGAGTAGTAACATTAATTTTAGTGTATAAAATTACTAAATGAGAATATCTAGGTTAAAGAACCACTCCTTAAGTCATTGAATAGGTTTATCCATAAGAAGAGTTGTTAAGGCATAGCAAGAAGTGCAAAGCTATTCTCCAACTAGGGAGAAGAATAAATTAAAAAAACATATAGAGCTAAAAATAAATAGTAAAGGGAATTGAACTATAATTGAATTGAACTATAGAATTTAAAAGATATAACTCAAAGTGGTCATACAAGTTATGAGTGGGAAATAACATGGGTGCTCGAGGGTGTTGCTATTTGCAACTATAATGCCTTGGAGGGTTTAAAATATGGAATTGTCCATATTAGATTGGAAAGTAAGTAAGAAGCTTGTGAAAGAAAAGGCTTTAATAAGCTAAGGGAGAAAGTCTCTTTAATGCTCCTAAAAACAATTTTGGGTAAATTAATACCTACTTTTGGCTCTAAATATTTCTTTAATTTATTCTTACTAAGAGAATAGTTTTGCACTTCTTGCTATAACTTAGCAATTATTCTTATAGATGAATTTATTCAATGACTTAAGAAGTGGTTCCTCAACCTAAATATACTCACCTGATAATTCTATACACTAGGATTAACATTGCTACTTATAAGCCTATACATACCCATTACTAGCTATACCAAAATCTTTTTGGTTTTATCCATTTAAGATAAATGAACTTATCTCATTTATAACTTTTGTCAACCTTAGATATTAGATAGTACCTCCTATTCACCAAATTTGGGGGTGTTTTCCAATGGGCAAGGG